GGTGAGAGGATTCACCAGAGACAGAGTGGGAAGCAGAACAGGCAGATTGATGCAGTACACTGCTGAGGGGAGCAGTGGGCGGGTCAGGAGAGGTCTGCTCTGCCATGTAGGTCAGCTCCGGGGAAAGTGGGAATTGAACTCATGTGGAAGTGGCTTTAGCTTCTCAGTGCTGCACCACCAGGGAGGGCCAAAATTCATGTTTTTAGGCCAATCACTATCCACAGTCTCTCTGTGCTTAAGGGAACCTATTCCTTAGGGAGAGTGCAGAAAGGAAATTGCAAAGCTTTTGTCAAAATATTTGGCTGCCAAAAAGTTGCTGTTTACTTAACAAAGGCAAATGCAGGACTGCCACAGTACCTGTCTGATCCTCCCCCAAATAACAGACTCTGTTGGTTTGTGCTGGCAACCTGAGAATAAAAGATGTTAAACAAATACCTTGATAATCAGTTCAGGTGGCAGACAATGTATGTCTCTCTCTCTCCTGGCCTAACTTCTGAGCAGTGACAGACATAATTAATTTTAGAAGGTGCCATAGCATGCTGGGAAGGAAAAAGAGGTGCCATTGATGGACAGCTGTGGTAAGAAGCCCCTTAGATTTAGCAAGGAAATTGCAGTCAGGACACTGCAGTAGGCAAGGAAGGCCAACAAAATATGGGAGGGGATCCCAGGACATGTGAGTCTGGACACTGATCCTTGATGAGAGTAGATCCCACTCTCACCATCCCACCCCCCGCTCCTGCACTTGATGGGGTGAATGGTACCAGAATCAGCTCCTTTGTCAGGTCACGATAGACAGGAAAGTGTGTCATCCTTCAAGAAGGAGCTGCAGTTGTTGGGGCTATGGAAGCAGGGCAGGGACTGGGGTGTCTGACAGTGTTCAACAAAACCAGACAGCCCCAAAGCTGGAGGGTAGGGATGCCTCAGCCCTCACCCCTCCTCAGCCCTCTGCCATCATCACCCAGAGGCTGTGGCATCTGTCTGGGCAACACATTTGGCCCTCTCCTACACACAGGCCTACACATAGGGTGATAAAATTCCTCCAGCCTGGCACATAGAAAATTTTTACAAATATTAGCACATAACCAGAAACCAAGAACATTTGAAGGAAACCAGCATGGTGAAAAGAGGAACCAAACTCAACACGTAAACTTCTATTTGAAAATCATCTTAAAATATCAAGCAGATCAGGAGTTTGAGTAACTGAAGTATCATCCTCAGAGAGATGTGAAAAGAGACGGCAACTTTAATAATCTATCTGATATATCCATGGGTCTGTCAGAAGCATATTTGCAATAGCCAAAGGCAGATGTAACCCAAGTGTGCATCCACGGATGAATAGATAAGATCTGGCCTACAGTGGAATATTATTAAGCTGTGAAAAGGGAGAAAATTCTGAGACAGGTTACAGGATAGATGAACCTTGAGGATATGACATCAAGAGAAATAAGCCAATCAGAAAAAAGATAAATACTGTGTGATTCTACTCATAAGTGAAAGTCACAGAGACAGAAAATAGAATGTTGGTTGCTAGAAACAAGGAGGGAGAGGAAGGTGGGGCGTCACTATTTACTGAAGGATATAGAGTTTCAGTGTAGGGTGGCAGGCTGCTTGGTAGTGAGTGTAGCACCCCAATGCCAATTTACTTATGAACTCAAATAGCTAAAATGGTCATTTTTCCAACTTTATTGAGGAATAATTGACAAACATAATTATATATTTTAAAGTGTACAAGGTGATGATAATTTTGTGGGATGACTATCAAAATCAAGGTAAGTCACCTGACATCATTAACTCTATTTTCTGTGGAGCAATTACTTAAGAGCTACCTTCAAAAACTTTGAGCCTTATTATTAGCCATTATCATTAATCAGTACATTAGATCTTCTGACCTTATTTTTATAACCAAAAGTTTGTAGTGTTTGAACTCCAAGAAGGTAAGGTTTTTTTCAAGTTCTCCTAGATATGTGATGCCACACAGTCTTTGCATTTCTGTGTCTGGTTTTTAGCACTTAGTGTGTTTTAAAGGGCCATTTATGTCATAAATTTAGCATTTTCTTTTTTATAGTTGAATAATATATCTCATTATACATGTGTAATATATACATATATGTATGTTCACACACACACACATATAAAATCACATTTTCTTTATATGTCCTGTCTCTCAGAGCTATAACTTGGCTCTTGTGACTAATGCTGCAATGAAATGAGTGTGCAAACAGCTTTTTGAGACCCTGTTTTCATTCCCTGTATGTGGGAGGGCTGGATCAAACTGTCGCCAGTTTTTACGAGACTAACACATTGCCTACTACACTAAGAAGGCAGGTTATCGCCAGTTCTTAAGTGCTTGAGGAACTACCGTATTGTTTTCCATAATGGTGATG